AAAAAAAAAAAAAAAAAAAAAAAAAAAAAAAAAAAAAAAGAGCGCACTGGAAATATGCAAAAGGTGGAAGCCTTTACATGTTAACATTTCAAATTGTGGGTTAAGAAAAAAAAAAAAAAAAAAAAAACAAAAAAAAAGGAAAGCCGGACGGAAACTTTTTTTCATTGCGCGAAATTGCAAAGTAGGGATTCACAAACTGTACAATTTTTTCACACTTTATATGTGTATCTTCAACTGGAGGTACGGTCCTTTGCTCTGCCAAGTGTACACGTTTGGACGGGTTTGTCATTAATTCTTATGCTGGTATATATATGTATGTGTGTTTTACTGAAAAGCAGCAAGCGAGAAAATGTAAGTGCGCGTTTTTTTTTTTTTGCAAGCTTAAACTGGCGTAAATCATTTCGCGTAGCACCCTTTTTCACGCGAAGCGTTCAACTCATAAAACCTGCGCATGGGCATCCCAATTGCACGGCTTCTCATTTCTTCAACCCTACACATGGTATTTTCAAAGCGGCTAGCAAAGTTGAGTATAACGCGATCATTATCATATTTCCCCCCTTTTTGTTTTTACCCAGTCCATCATGCTCTAAGTTTTAGCCATTTCTCGTATGTGTGCCTGAACCCTCGTACATTTATTTGTTCATTCGTCCATTCATTTATTTGTTCATTCGTTCATTCGCATATTTATTCACCCTTTTTTTTTTTTTTTGTTTTTTTGGTAAAATTGGGCCGAAATTGCCATAGCGTGCACGAGCCTTCTCCCCCCTTCACGTCGCTGTTAGGTCAGTTTGCCGTTAGAGGCACCTGCACTTTAGCGCAATTCTATTTGACCCCACGCTACCACGCCGCTACACCATCCCCCTGTTCGCGTCGGACACCGAAGCGCAGCCCAAGTTCGTGCCCACATGTTCGATGATATATTGGATAAAAGGTACGCCCCCCCCAAAAGAGCCGCTCTGTTCCCTCTCACATGTGTCTGCATCTACCACAAATGAAGCGCGTTGTTATGCATGTTTCTGTGTGAGTGTGTAAAGTGAGGATGCACTTTTTGTGAGATTATATATACCCCGTGTGGACAGGTGAAAAAGAGGCCCAAAGAAGCCCAAAAAAAACGTCGCAGAGCCATTCCCGTGTCGTGCTTCGTTTGTTATATATATATATATATATATATATTTTTACTTACCACATTTTCCGTACCTTGTTTTGCATATACCCCCCTCCCGCAGCAACCTGACACAAACACGCTAGGCAATAACGACGATAATGACAAGAGGAGAAGAAAAAAAATGGATTGAACAGTTGCGTATGAATCCGCCCAAGCTGTTGGACGAAAATGATTTAAGGCTAGTCTGCCAAAGAGTAAAAGAAATTCTGGTGGAGGAAAACAATGTACAAGCAATAAACCCCCCAGTTATAATCTGTGGAGATATACATGGGCAATTTTTTGATCTGTTAGAATTATTTGATGTAGGAGGAGACATTATGAATAACGATTATATATTTCTTGGTGACTACGTGGACAGGGGATACAACAGCGTGGAAACATTTGAATATTTATTATTATTAAAGCTTCTGTTCCCCAAAAATATAACCCTGTTGAGAGGGAACCACGAGAGCAGACAGATCACTACAGTGTATGGATTTTATGACGAATGTTTTAAAAAGTATGGTAATGCAAATGCATGGAAATACTGTACAGACATATTTGATTATTTAACATTAGCAGCTTTGGTGGACAACCAGATTTTTTGTGTGCATGGGGGCTTGTCTCCTGAGATAAAACTAATTGATCAGTTACGCTTAATTAATCGTGTACAGGAAATTCCACATGAAGGGGCTTTTGGGGATATTATGTGGTCAGACCCTGATGAGGTGGAAGACTGGGTTGTCAATCCTCGGGGTGCTGGGTGGCTCTTTGGTCCAAAGGTTACCAAAAAATTTAATTACATTAACAATTTGGAATTAATTGCTAGGGCACATCAGCTAGCTATGGAGGGATATAGGTACATGTTTGATGATTCGACTATCGTTACTGTATGGTCTGCTCCTAACTATTGCTACCGATGTGGAAATGTTGCTGCCATCATGCGCATTGATGAAAATATGAACCGACAGATGCTCATATTTAAAGATACGCCTGACTCTCGCAACTCCATCAAGAACAAGGCCACCATTCCGTACTTCTTATAGCGGTGCCAAACATGCCCACCGCCGTGGGGAAAACCACACACACCAAAACATGTGACACACACACACACACACACACCGTTCGGGTGCGGCCGCCTTGACAAGGCACAGACACAGGCCCCTCCTTTATATAAATTTGTTTTGACACACACACGTGCGTAGGTTTCACCATGCCCTAATTTTTTCTCCCCAAATTTTTGCGTTTCCATTTTTGCGTTTTCATTATTCCCTCCCCCATTTTTTGAATGAGCATATTTCCACACCAACAAAAAAAAGAGAGAGCCGGCTGCATTTTTAACCCCTCAAGTGCGCGCCGCTCTATTTAGCGGCCCGTTTTATATATGCCCATTTATATCTGCTACTTATTATTTGCTACTTATTTGCCTGCTCGTCTATACCTACCCACACACACACGCCCTACACCCCATTCTTAAATTTTACAGTTTGATTTTTAAATAAACACAACTTAATGCTTCTTTTTAATTCTGTGATAATTTATATTACGCCTTGCGCGGAGGGGAGAGCGGCACCTCCGCGTGGAATTTTTTTTTTTTTTTTGGCGAGCCCCTCTCCAGTTTGAATAGGCTAAAAACAGGGGGGAGCAGAATAGGTTAAGCTATGTTGTACAGGCAATTGAAGTGCCAGGGCATAGCTACCCTCAAATTTGCCATATGCGTAAACAACTCCTTTGTGCCCTTTCACCCCCCTATGGGCAAATTTTCCCAAGGCAAAGACATTGCCCCCTCGCCCCATAAAAATACGCAGCGTAACGGTCACAGATTTAGAAGAAAAAAACAGGTTGCAAAATCGACACGCTTTGCCCCTCCCCTTTTGTGTGAACCCTGTGATGTGGCTGTAACCCGAGTGCGGAAATTGTGCAAAAAAAAAAAAAAAAAAAGGAAAGGAAAAAGGAACCGCTTTCTCTCCTTCATGTTGCTCCCGCGCACATCAGTGTAGCTCGAAGAATCACCAAAAAAAGGGGAGTGTTTAAACAGAGGGCACAAAAACGGCAGAGGGAAGAGGCGACGGAGAGAGGATGCGAAAGAGGTGTACAACAAAAAAAAAAAAAAAGAAAAGAAAAAGGAGCTCCCCCCAAAACCACAGATGACACGTAGGTCCGCAAATGGCCAGGCGCGAAACCCGCAAAAGGAGCCCCCGATTACACCTATAAAATGTTTTTGCTGCGCAGGTTACTGGCCCCTCTATGCATAATAATTGTAAGTGTCAGCCACCAGAACGCAAAAGTTTGCTCGAACAAGTTTCAAGCGAACGTGCTGAACAGCGGCACACGTGTAGGGGAGCAGCCTCCCTGGGGGACGACAGCCCTGAAGAGGGACACGAAAAGGAAAAATGGTCTCTTCAAGAATGACAAGAAACAAAATGCGACATCACAATATGGCTACTACTTTACTAAGGAGAAAAACAAAATAGTAAAAAAAAAAAAAAAAAAATTTTCACTGAATTATTCTAGAGACCCTAAAACAGCAACGAGGGGGACAAAAAGAATAAAAATAAAAACAAAAACAAAACTTCGCTCCCCCCTCCTTTTTATATCCCCCTTATCAACATCATTAAACGAGATTAATGAAAGTGTGAAGGCTCTGTTCAACTTAGACTACATAGAAAATAGCTACCTCTATTCATATATTAAATCATTTAAAAGGACACCCCCCTTAACCAAACTTTACCTCCTAGGCACTTTCATCTTAAGCATATGCATGCATGTAAATAAGAATATATACAAGCTCATTGTGTTCGATTTCGAAAAAGTATTTTACCAACGTCAAGTGTGGAGATTAATTACTCCTTACTTTTATATAGGTAATTTATACCTCCAATATATTCTTATGTTTAATTATTTACACATCTACATGTCTTCGGTTGAAATTGCACACTACAAGAACCCAGAGGACTTGCTCACATTTCTAACTTTTGGCTACCTGTCCAATCTCCTCTTTATAATAATCGCAAGTATGTACAATGAAAATGTGATGAACCTTCAAGGGTATGTGAATGAAGTTAAGAGAATTTTTTTTTCAGGGGGGAAGAGTATTTCCGCCAAGGCGAACACAGATGTACGTATAACAAAAGAGCAGTATAACCACCTTGGTTATGTTTTCTCTACCTACATACTCTACTACTGGAGTCGGATCAACGAAGGCACCCTCATTAACTGCTTCGAGCTTTTCCTGATCAAGGCTGAGTATGTCCCTTTCTTTTTTATTATACAGAACGTTTTACTATACAATGAATTTTCTCTCTTCGAAGTTGCGTCCATTTTGTCCAGTTACTTTTTCTTCACATATGAAAAATATTTTCAATTGAATTTCGTGCGGCGCTTCAACCTCGCCCTGCTCAAGGCGCTGCGCCTCTACCCCATGTACGAGGCCTACAGGGAGGAGTACGAGTAGCAGCTTTAATTTTTCAGCCACGTGGAAGGGATAGGTGTTTTTTTTTTTTTTTTTTTTTACCTCATCGTTGGCATATGACTCGGTAAGCCGATCTGCACCGTGATGTTGATGTGGCTACTCGATTTGCTACCCATGTCTCGTTTGTCTTCCTTCCCCACGCGCCTATCACACCATGCGGCTGCGCCTCGTGCTGCCCCCTCACACGGGCGCCCTGAGGAGGGGCAATCAATGGACCCTGCTCTACATGCAAACGAGGAGATACTCGAACACCCCAAAGGTGAACACCCTGAAGAGCATGGACATGCCCAGTATCCGCAAAAGTATTGAGTTGAGCAAAAAAAAAAACCTCAAATCAAAAATCCTCTGGAGGAACTACCTCTACGTAGTGATTCTAAAACTGTATAACAACCAAGTCAGCAATTATGTGGACCTCATGATTATTTTAAAATTGTTAAGCAACCAAATCTCCTTAGAGAAAAAAGTGTTGAATTTTATTTGTGAAAAGTTGGAGAATCACATGTACAAACTAACCATAAGGGAATTGAGTCTACTAATGTTGGTTCTAAGAAAACACAAATTCGATAATCTGTACTTCCTCAACCTGGTGGCAAAGGCTATACTAATAAGAATGAATAAGAATTTGTCTTATAAAGATTTGGCTTTGATCACGTTTAGTCTGTCTAGAAGCATTACCTTAACAGAAAAAGTTTACACGAATGAAATTTTCCACCTAAGTGTTGCTAAAATACACAACGATTTGAAGAATCTGAATTTCCATTCTCTCACTTTGTTCTTCTACTCTTATAGTCTTTATTTTCTTCACCACTTTGAACACTTCAACTCCTTTTTTTACATGACCAAGAATTTTATTCAAGTGATAAAAAAAAATTTGTATCTCTTCAACCCCACCGATCTGATGTTTACCTTTTTATCGACCCTCCACATGCAAGGCGCGCTTAATAATGTGGTCAGGAGTGTCAATTGCAACAACGTGAGGTGTCCCTCAAGTGGAGAAATCTCACACAGTAGTATTAATGCACCTGTGCTCAAGGGAGGAGAGACTATGAATAATCATACCTTGACCAAGTACACCGAGAAGAATGAGCAAACAACATTTGTACCAGCGAAGACAACTCCAGGGAAAGGACTCACCACGAGGAGTGTTATTCCTACACGCGCTCTTCCTCACACAAATTGCACCAATGGAGGAAAGGTAGAGCAGCAGGATTGGACAGCCCGCGAAGAGACACTGTCACATTTCACAACCCAAGTGAGATACGCAATTGTGGAAAAGCTAAAATGCTTCAAAGTGGAAGAAGTAACAAACGTGCTGTTTGCCTCCCTAGATAAAAATATTAGCATTAACAAGAGGTACTTTCCCTTTCTTCAAAAGGACAAAATACAAATTGAAGATTACCTGCACGTGTACGTGAAGAAGGGACAGAGGTGGGACGAGAAGGAAGACTCCTCCCACGTGGTCCCCCAATCAGCGAACTACATCATCAGAGTTAGCCAAGACACTAACGAGGAAGAATATTTCCTTAACGCATTGTCGGAGGAAATAATTTATCGTAACGAATTCCTCACCGCGAGGCAAATACTTTTACTTCTGTATGCTTTGAGAGGAAGTAACACTCCATTTATACAGCTGGAGAAAATTCTTTTGAAGCGATTGGTGTGTTTGGACCAGGAGTTAACCATTAGCCAAGTTATGTTTGTCTACCAGTACCTCTACTTCAGGACGTGCCTGTTTCACGAATTAAGGCGGTATGACCCAAAAGTGTGTAAACAGGACGGGCAATATGCACAGGACAGCGAAGAGGTGTTCCTTTTGTGCGATGGTGACAATGGAACGAGGGAAACTGATCAACAGGGAAAACAACCCACCGTACCCAGTGAATGCAAAAGGGAGAGAGATAATCAAGTGTACTACCTACACGATGATACATCCCACTTGAAGAAAAGGAGAAAAAGGGACAAGACAAAAATTTTTCTGTATAATAATTTTATTTTTAAGTACCCTGCACAAGTCAGTACAACACAAGGGGAACAAGTCACAAATTTACAAAAAAAAAAAAAATTAAAATATTTTATTAATTTTAACAGAAAGGAAGATTCCTTGGCGGAAGGAAATCATTCAACCGCAACACATGATGGGAAAAACAACCCACCCACTGGAGAGGCCGAGTACCAAATCACGTGTTACAATTTCTACCTGGATGTGTACAAAATTGTTTGTTTAAAAATGGTAAACTTTTTAAAAAATGAAAAACTAACCACACGCAACACCATACACATATTAGAAATATTCAAAAAATTAAATATAAGGGATTACAGAATTATTAAACACTTGTATAAAATGGAGAAAGATATTTTATTCTTGGACAACGCCAGCCTGGAAAAGGTTTTAAAAGTCCTTCTTAAATTTAACCTGTACAACATAATACATTATTTGGGGTTTCACAGAATTTTACAATTCATTAACTTCAACTCGGTGGATGAATGCGTTTCCATTTTGGGTCTCCTTGGTCTGCTCTCCACTCGCAGGAAGACGAAACACTATGAGGGGGAGGAGAGGGAAAAGGAATTCTCCCATTTGCCCAACTCATGCACTGAAAATGCCGTCAATTATATTTTAAAAAATGTAACAGACTTGACAAGTACCCATGAGTTAGAGAAGCTTCAGATAACACCCGTATACAATTCCCTACCTCTAAAATATTTCAAGCTGTTCAAAAATGTCCGCTCTGTGAAAGGCTTGGCTCAACTTTGTTTTCAACAGAGTGGGGAAAAAAAAAATCACCTTGCCTGGTCAGGTGAAAATGACCAAAAAAAGGCGAGCAATTTTGTGTTGCATTGTGTGGATGACGTCAACCTGGGGGAAGTGTCGCTTGGGTTGGGCGGTCACCGATCACTCGATTGCGGATCATGCGGTTACCTATCACTGGACCGCTGGGGTGCCAGTCAAACGAGACAAACTCCAAGTGCCACTGCGTGGACAAATTGCCTGAACGAGTACAGAGATGTGCAGGAGGAAATATTTCAAGACCTGCACACAATATTTCCTCGGACGGTTGAAGTTTATAAAAATGTGAACGTGTCCAATTACACATTTCCGCTAGCTATTAATTTGCTAACGCTGGGGGGAGCAGCGCCTAACACGACTGACGCAATTGACTCGGTTGGCGCGACTCATTCAGCTGCAAGTCAATGCCGAAGCGCTGGACCCAGTTGGGCACAAAAAAAACTGGACACGAAAAATACCGTCCTTGTGGACATCCTGTATGGCCACGACTTTTACTACTCCCTCAGTGGAAGCAAAGAGCAGCAGTTGAAGAAACACAAAATTTACGTATCCTACTATGGCATGCATGCGAAGAAGGTAAATAAAAAAATGCTTAATTATAAAAAATATATCATATTGAAGTGCGTTAAAAAAATTGGGTACAACTTCATTTGCATTGATGCCAAGAAGTATGTAAAAAATAAAAAAAAAAACAAAGACAATCACCTGAACAAAGGTTACCTAATTAGTTTGATTCTCGATTTGGTTAAGAGAAAGAAAAGAATTCCCATGGCAAGAAACAGAAGGGTCATTGGAAAAAATAGCTCAGCTACGTCGCGACAACGACGCAGAAGGAGGTCAATTTTGCGAGAGAAAAGACACTCGTGCAGCGTTGAAGAGTTTGCCTCCCATGTGGGAACAAACAAACACCTGTGCAAGACGCACGCCGGGGGAGAAAAGGCGGGCCTCCCCGGGACAAACCATCTGGACAAGTTGAGGCACATGTTCCAGCTTGGGTAGTTATTGCAGACGCATTCGTGCAACTGTTTCTGCTTGCGCTATTTTTTTTTTTTTTTTTTTTATGTGTCGCGTGCCCCTTTTGTTTGAGCAGCGAACTGCATGTGGGGGTTTCCTCCACTTCGGCGTGCACTGCCGAGGCGAACACCCAAGAGGGTTTTTTTTTTTTTTTTTTTTTTTTGCCTCTTGAACCTTTTTTGTTAAAAACGGGCGACACCCTTTCCTGACTCCCTACTCGCGCTGGTGTTCGCAGGAAGGGAAGACAAAAGTGAAGGCGTGTCGTCAGCCAGTCTGTTTCTACTTTGCCTCTTCTGCAACCTCGCCAAGATGCCATTCACGTAGGATGCGAAAAAGACAAAAATGTACACAGTGTCCATGCGGAGGATATGAAGGCTTTCCCTCAAAAAGCGAATTGTGGAAATGGCTCTGTACACCTCGTAGTGATGTCCTTCGCTTGGCTTGTCCACGAGGCGTAAAGCTGTGGGATGATCCTTTCTGTGTGTGGGTGCCACCCTGCCAGATGCGCAACTAGTTGTGCTACTAACAGAACCCCCTTTTAAATACAAAAGGGTTTTTAACATGGTATACCTGGCATCATCCCCCTGAGTTGTGTCTCCCTCAGTGTTTCGTTGCTTGACCCGTTTAATCAGCATTCGAAACTGCGATACAAATTCCATATAATGTGTAAATAATTTTTTGGAGGAAAGAACAACAGGCCCTTTGGTGTTGTATCCCCCTCGTAATGTACCTTTTATTTTCTTTCTGCTTCTTGCAATTTTTTTCATTTTTTCTTTACTGATGAGAAAATTTATTCTGTTTTTGTTTGGAGGTAGAGGCTCTTCCTCAAAATTGTACAGTGGCAGAAATGGGTAAAAGTCTTTACAAATGTATTCGCATAATTCGTTATATAGCATCCTCATATGAAGATATACTTTTTTTTTCTTTCCTGATTTGTCGAGTGAGGGAGTGGCCATGGGGACCTTTCTCCCGTTACCGTCTTGTGTAAAAATGCAGTTTTTTTTTTTTTTTTTTTTTAAAATGCACTTTTCCTTTAGGTGAAGCAGAATAGTTTTTCTTCCCACTGCGATTTGTTTACTGCGCAGACGTAGTAGCGGAGGCAGTAGCGGCGACGCACAGTCGTGTGATACACAATCGTGTGGCGCGTCCCCCTGGCCGGTGCTCATCAGACAAATCGCTTCGCAGGTAGGCGCCTGGTCCTTTTCTCCTTCCACACAATTCACTCCACTGTGCTCCTGTAAATCCCTTACACATTTTTTTCTTAACCTTTTGAAATTTTTTTTTTTTATTTTTTTTTTCCTCATTTCTTTCCTTTTTAAATTGCAAAAATTGGCGTAGGAGGAGTTGTATTTCTCCTGCACATGAGGCACCGGAGTAGAACTTCCTCCAGGCGAAGGGGACTCCCCCTTGTGGTCGTCATCATCATCATCATCGTCGTCCTTGTCCACTTGGTTCTTTGAGCAGCTCTGGCATTTTGCACTCAACATACTGTTCAGTTTCATCGCCAGGAGAAATTTATATTTTGTTAAGAACAACTCGTTGATTAAATCGACACAGAGGCTTTCCAACATTTTGTGCAGCGGCGACGTGATACAAAAATGGAGTAAAAAAAAAAAAAAAAAAAAAATTCTGGCAAGTTTATTCCGTCTTTTTTTTTTTTTTTTTTTTTTGGACTCCTTCCAGGATTTTCTACCGATGAGCTTATGCCGACCTTTTTTCTTCCTCACCTGGTGTGTGTGCACCTGTCACTGGTGCCGTGGTGACATGAAAGCTGTGGCCCCTGTTGAGTGCTACTCGGTGGAAGGTAACCACATAAAAAAAAAAAACACCCCTCTACAACATTGATAAAAATTGAAGAGTGGGTTTAACTGTGTTGTGCACATGGACAAGCAAAGAATGCCAAGTATATTCTTTCCCTAGGTTACATGTAAAGAGGACGTTGCTTTGTACATTTTATATACATAATAGGGGCAACGAGTGGAGTTGCTTGTGTTGAGAAGGAATATATGAGCACATGCTTCACTTAAAAACTGGGCGCCACTGCGCAGAAATTAAATTGTGCATAAAAAAAAAAAAAAATAAAAAAAAAATAACAGCATGTATAGATTGTTAATGAGGGCACCGCGCGGGGAATAAAGCAGCGGAGCAAATTAAAAAAGGAGCACTCTGTATGGTTAATTAAGGGAAAAAAAAAAAAAAAAGAACAAAAAAAAAGAACAAAAAAACGAACGGGCGAATGGAAGATCACCACAATGGATGAAAAATGAAAACTGCGAGTGAAGCCTGAAAACGGGTTTTTATTTTGTATCTTTTACTTTGCCCATTAGCCGCTTCCACCGTTTCACCGCTGTACAGCTCACCGCTTCGCCGGTCAACAACAGATAAAGGGAACCATCACACAAACATGCTAAACGAAAAAAAAAAAAAAAAAAAAAAAAATGATTACCTACTCAGAATATTTTGACGAATATGTAAAAGATTTAAATAAATATATTCATAAAATAAAATCATCGATTCATCAAATACAAGGTTTGAAATTAAAAAAAAAAAAAAAAAAAAAAAAAAAAAAAAAAAAAAAAAAAAAAAAAAAAAAAAAAAAAAAAAAAAAAAATTGGATAATTACATAACGTAACACATAAAACAACCCAAACAGGTGCACCTCCACTTCTGTACTCACAAAAAAAATTTTCCGTCCCACTTTTCTGTGAACACATTTCAGATCTAGAAGGGATTAAGAAAACAAGAGAGGACATTTTGGAGGCTGAAAAATGTGTAAGCGAATTGTATTTACTTGCGCACATGAGTGATGGGAGGACTGTGTGTATATGTGTGTATGTGGTTCCATTTTTTTTTTTTTTTTCACCTTTGAGTTGTACAAATTTGCGCCACCTCCATTGTACCGCTACGCGGCTACAGCGCTACACCACTTCGTAACGCCGCCACACCGTCACACCGCCACGCCGCCCTTTCCCTTCGCACCATTCGGCTCGCCAGATAAAACAAATCATAGTGGAGACGAATAGCCTACCGAGAGGATCACACAAAATATTTGAGGAGGTAAAAGGAAGAAGGGGAGGCACCCGCAGGGGTAGACCCAAAAAGGACCCTTCCGAATGCTCTCTCCTTTTATTTCCTCTGTTCGAATGCCCTCTCCTTGTTATATGCTCCCCCCCTCGCATGCCCTCTCCCTGTTATGTTTCCCCCCCGCAGATACAAAAACACCAGGTGGACGTGAAGAAGTACAAAAAGGTTCTGAACAAAATGAGCAGCGATTACTATTCAGACGAGGTGGTAAGGCGCACAGCAACAAAAAAAAAAAAAAAAAAAAAAAAAATGAAAAAATATAATTAGCAAACGAATCATTCTCATGCACGCAAATGCCCTCCCATCATTGCAGATGAACAACAGGGAATATGACACGACGAGGAAATACATGGAAGGGACAAATTTTCTAAAGGAATCAGAAAAGTACAAAACGGAAAAAAAAAAAAAAAAAAAAAGCAGCACCACAAGGGGGGGGGTCTCTCCTCTGTGTGTGCTATATGACCCTTCACCCACCCCCCCCCAACTGGACAAATTATGACCTCCATACATTTTTATCACTTTCTCATTTGCTACCCTTTTTAGGAGAGCCCAAGATGTTGAGGATATGGGTTAGACACACGAGCCGTCCCTTCGTCGCTCATGTAGCGGCTGCTTGCAGCTGAAGCCAACGACATTCATCTCACTCAAACATTCTTAACCTCCCCTTCTTCCTCCCCCCCCCATGCAGGATACACAATAATGAGTGAACTGACTGCGCAGAGAAGCGCCATCCTTAGAACGAAACTTTACGTAACTTCAAAAAAAAAAAAAAAAAAAAAAAAAAAAAAAAGTCGATTGACTAACAAATGTTGCATGCTTGTTAGAGGGACGGGGGGAGTAGACAGACCTACTTTTCACATTGTCTTCCCCTGGTGAGGGTGGTGATTATTTGTTCATATGTCTAGCCTTCTTCCGCTAGCATATCCTTTTTATACACTTTTTTTTTTTTTTCCCCCCAAGACGGACGAAACGAGGCAAGAGCAGAACAGAGTGAAACGGATGCTGCTCAGCATATACCACAACAAGGTCCTGTTCAAGTGCCTCCTCATTTTAATTATAATTCTGCTGGCCATTGCCAACATAGGGGTTATAATTTACAAAATAAAGTGAGTCTAGGTCATATCGTGACGGGGTTGCGAGAAGGTCATATCGTGACGAGGTTGCGTGAAGGTCATATCGTGACGGGGTTGCGAGAAGGTCATATCATGACGAGGTTGCGTGAAGGTCATATCGTGACGGGGTTGCGAGAAGGTCATATCATGACGAGGTTGCGTGAAGGTCATATCGTGACGGGGTTGCGAGAAGGTCATATCATGACCGGGCTTGCGTGCTGAATGAAGGGAAATTAGGAAGCCCCCATTCGCAGCCCTTAGATCTTGCGCCACGTTTCCGTCTCCTGTCTCCACCCCGCGAACCACACACCACAATGATTAACAAATTGATACGACACGAATTGAAGGGTTTGTTTTGGAGACCACACATGCACCTCGCATAAGTGTGTGGTCACACAACATCGTTTGAAGAAGTTTTCCTTTCCCGTGCATCATCAAATGTGTTTAAAACGCACGAGGACGAATGGCACCTTTGTAGGCGTGCATGATAAAAATTAAAATTGCTACTTAGCGAAAGTGAAAAAAGGATTATTAATTTTTTTTTTTTTTTTTTATTTGTTCACATCAATGTAGTACCATGTGCACGTATCTCACTGCCTGTTTGCCTGGCTATCCTTCTCCCTGTGTGCACGTAAGCGAGTTGTTCTTAAAAGAAACCCTCGCACAAATATTCTACACACATACATGCTTCTTTTTTTTAGTTACAATTCTTCGTTTTTCGTCTGCGCGGGGTTGTCTGTGTCCGCCCCATTTGATGTGACCCCGTTGTTGTGTCCTGCGTTATGTCCATCTGCACTTGCGTCAAACTTCGTTTCTTCCATTTTGCCGGTCCCCCCGGGGATGGGCCCCAGTTCATTATTAACACTCGTTTGGCCGCTTTCATTCGCTTCGTTCTTACCACTCTTTGCTTCCTTTTTTTTTTCCTCCTCTTTTAAAAACGACTGTACACTATCATGGTACCTAAACGGGGGTTCGCGGAGTGGCAACCCAAGTGTGTGTACAGGTGATGCTGCACGAGTACACCGCGACACTCACTTATCGTTTACTACGCAACACCGTGTCGATATGTGTGTACGGGGGCTGGTTTTGTCTGTCTGTCTGTCGCGCTTACTTCTCCTTCATGTCCCACCAGACCTGCATGTTCGGGTTCTTCTCCTTTGACTTGAGCAGGCGATTCCAAATCTGCTTCTCCTTTTTCTTTAAAGTAACGACAACCTTCCCCACGGACGCGAAGTTATACTTGGTCTCCTGCAAGGTTTTTTTTTTTTTTTTTGCACATGAAGTGAAAACGTAGGCACACTCTCACATACGCTACATGCACACGTTCCAACGTGACTTTGTCACATGAAGAGGATCCCTCTCCCGGTGTGAAGTGTCCCCGTGGGAAGTCTCCCCATGCGAAGTCTCACCGATTCGTCTATGTCATGGAGGAGCTTCAGATCAACCGTGTACTTTTTTGTCACCGAGTTGGTGTCGTCACTCAGGGCCGAAAAGGAAAACAAGTTTTCTCTCGCAACCACTTCTTCGTCCTTCACCTTTAGGGCACCTGCAGGAGGGGAAAAAAAAAAAAAAAAAAAAAATGAAAAATGAAAAATAAACGCCTTGTGAGGAGCGCTGTCATAACAGATTAAATACAGAAAGGAAAAAAGACGACGCCGCAAAAAAAAAAAAAAAAAAAAAAAAAAAAATTAACAACGTGAAAACCACTGCAAAATAAACTGCTTTTCCACCCCAATGGAGCATTGATAAAAATTTCCGTTA